AATGAACAAGAAACTTCCTTTTGCTACCCACCTAGGATTAAATACAAATTCCTCTTTGGCTTTTAAAATTCTTCACAACCCACCCCCATCCTTTCCCTAAGCCTTATTATTACACATTATTCCCATTCACATATACTATGGTCTAATCAAACTGAACTTCTCACAGCACCTTGTCTGTGGGACTCCATATCATGTATCTGCATTTTTTACTGCTCATGGTCCCTAGAATGCATTCTCTCCTCACTCCTCCCCTATGCCTCCTGGAATTTCTAGCTTTCTTCAAAGCTCGCTTCAATGGCTCCTTTCTACTGGAAGCTTTTTCTGACTTCCCCAGAGGCTACTGTCTCTCCCCTCCAATTCTCTTTCTTCATTTATCCTTCTCTATACAAAGAGATCACAAGAGCTGCTGCTGAGCAGCAATGGTTTGACATTTGCCTTTGTAGCCCCGGTGCCTAGCATAGTGCCTATCACGAAGGGAATGCTTAGTAAATATTTGTTGATTTACTGATTAGTGTGTGAGGCCTGTAGTATTCAGAGTCACGTTGGCTTGGAACTCCTTGTCCTTTTAGAAGCAGCATTCTGTACTCCATCCACTTTGGTGTGGTTCTTCCTTGCATCTCTTTCCACAGAGAGAACGTGTCCTATGATACTGACTTCCTGAACGTAATAGAAACTTGGTCCAATCCCTCCTCCATCCAGAAATGCCTGGGAGGAAAAGTATATACATTCACGGGGTCCCTATCCTTTCTATTAGTAGGAGGGAGACTCAGCAGAACTCTTCCAATGGAGTCCGGCAGAGCCTAGGTGTGTGTTGTTGATTTTGTACATTCTTCTGTGAATGTTCTTGGCTTGTTTTTCACTTGAGCTTAACTTTATTTTTGCAATTTAAAAAATTTCAGAGAAAAATAAAAGTTGCATCATTTAAAGTTACTGTACCTTAACAAATGCACCCAAAGTGGCACTGTTTTTGCATGCATGAAAGCTCAAAGCCTCAACAACTCCCATGAGCGATTAATCTTCTAACACTAATTAGATATTTGCTAATTAGCGTCTGATGTGTGAAATGAAAAAACATTTTGAAGCTGAAATGAATAGGGTCTAGAAAGATAGCGGCTGTATTCCAGCCCCCCCCTTTTCTATATTATTATCATATTTTATAAATATTAATAAGATCACCTGATATCAGCCGCTCTATGAAATTATCTTTCTGAACGAAGCCTTTTGTTTGGTATAATAGGAATGTGTCAATATTTTGCATTTAGAGCACAGCACTCAATGAAGGGAAGTGCTTCCCTCAGTGTTAAAGAGACGTCACATATCATGAATCACTTTGATGCTCCACGAACCTGCTCTGCTTTTTAACCCAGTCCACTTCCCATTTTTCCAATAAAGAGGCTAAAAAGATGGTTCTATCCAATCGTCTTCTTCCAGTCATTCTGTCTTTCTCTCTCTGTCTTTCCATATCTCTCTATTCCCCCCCTCTCGTGTTTGTTTTGGTTTAAAGTAACCTTAACAAAATGGGAAAAGTCTGCCCTCTGGGAGTTTTGATTTTGTGTGATGAAGTAGAAGGTGTACTTACAGAATAATCAATTTCAAGAAAGAATTTGATCCATTAATTACATGTATGAAGAATATCCAAAAAAATCACCATATGCTATCCTATGCTATCTTAATAGAAACAGGTATTGGAAAGAGGATAGGGATTTGGCGAGTAGAATACTTTCCCTCCTCAAAGACACACACACACACACACACACACACACACACACACACACACACACACACAGAGTCTGCAATATTCAAGCCATAAAAATTAAGCCATTTTATGTTCTTGAAATGTAGTATTTTGATTTGAACTATTTCTCAAATGAAAACTTATACTAAGAAGACCTAGATCTGAATGCTTTAAAGCTGAGAGCGAATCTCTACAAAGAATAAACTACTTCATATGGTGTATTTTTAAAACTACTCACCTGTGAATGCTGGTCATATCACAAATTATATCTAATTACAGCATTGATCCAGCAATTTGAAATGATAGCCAAGCACAAGTTGACAAAGGTGACACTGGAACATAATGACGACGAGATTATCGTTTTCTCAGGCTGACATTTTGTGATTATAATAATGCTGATCAAGATGATTAAAACCATAATGAAGGGAAGGCTCCAAGAACCAGAATAAAACATACTCAGACTAAAGAGAGTGCACCAAGTATGTGACTATAATTTTATTTCCTACTTTTTCAACATGAAGTCTCCTTCTTAGTTTAATATCAGACACTTCTATTAGTCCCAGAGGCCTCTGGAAACTGCAACGGACAGACAGGGCTTCCTACCAAGTCAGAGAAGCTTCTGTTTTTCAAACCTTAGATGAGGACAGTGAGGTCATCTATGCCAATTTATCCACTGACACTGGACTTTTGAGGTTGATAGTCAAGTCCCAGGTGCAAAACATCAATGGACTATTTGCATTAATATTCAGTTACTAGAAACTTCAGCCCTAAAATTCATGATAATCCTAGAGTTCTGCACTGCTACAAACATCAGTGAAATGGTAAAAACCTGGCAGACATTATCCTTTCACTTATCATTAAAACAGGAATAAAACCAGACAGCTTTTAATTACCAACAACAGAGAAATGAGTCAAGAGGAATCAGACCAAATCAAGACATCACCAGTCAATCCAGCAGGCAGACGTGGGCTTAACCTGGGAAATGAATGACATTCTGTACTTTGCTCAAATGAGCCTATTTAAATTGCATCGAGTTCCAAAGTATCTGATGAGACTTATAATGTTGAAGCTCGTTTCTAAAATGAAAGATTAGTATGTCACTATTATTTGAAATCCCTCTCCTAACCACACTAGCGTCCCTAAATTTGGTTTTTAATTTATCTATGCTTTCGCAAATCAGTTATCATAGAATCACAGATTTCTGAGCTGGAAGGGACTTTACATTCTTTTACCAAATAGCTCTGTAACCCTGGACTTGTTATTTTAACTCTCTGGGCCTCAGTTTCCTCATCTACAAAATGAATGGGATGGACAAGACGCTCTCTAACATCTCTCTCGGCTCTAAATTTCTACGATGCTACGATTCAAGAGGTGATCTGGCCCAGTCCCATGCCATTAGGACCGTAAACTATTATTGATTACTTCTGTTTTATACATGAGGCAGTTGAGACACAGAGAAGTGATTAACGCAAGCACTCCAAGCTAGTAAGTAGCAGGGGCGTGGCAAGCAGATAAGGAAGACTCTGACATTAAAACAAAACAAAACAAAACATGAAACTCTGGATTTGGTGTCAGTGGACCCCAATCCTGAATCAATATGACCTCAGCAAGTAAGTCACTTAACCTCGCTGAGCCTCAGTTTCTTCATCTTTGAATTAAGGGAGTTAGATTACGTGACCACTGAGATTTCTTCCAGCTCTCAGTCTATGAACTATGAGGGCAATCTCCTTTTCACCTCCACACACACACACACACACACACACACACACACACACACACACACACTGTTACGCAGACAGACAGTTATAATCTAACCACTATCTGGGCTCGTACTGCAGCAGCTGGTATCTAACAACCCTGTTCTTCCAAACTTCCCATTTCTGTCAAGGGCACCCACTGTCTTTCCAGGCACACAGGGTCACAACCTGGTTTGTTGTTTTTCTTTTTCTTTTTCTTTTTTTTGACCTTCTAAGTTGTCTTTGGCATATGTGGGTTGAAAAGTCTGGCAACTGCCACAGCTGCCCATGATTCAGTCCCCTGAGGCCTGCTCCAGGTTCACTGAGGCCTGGTCTTTGCCTGCACACCCACGCTGAAGTGCACTCCTCTCCCAGCCAGGTACGATAGACCTTTCCAATCAACCATCCAGGTTGTCTTGGGCTGGAAATTTGCTTCACTCTGTCTTTTTGTAGGTTCTGCTGCTCTAGAATTTGTTTAGAGCCATTTTTACGGGTATTTGGAGGGGTTTGGGGGAGAGCTCAAGCAAGTCACTGCTTTTACTCTGCCATCTTGGCTCCGCCTCCCTCTTCTCTCCCTGTCTTTGGTTTTTTTGGACTCCTCATTTTTTCTCATTCCACATTTTAAATCAGTTGCCAAATCTTGCCATTTCTATCTTTATAAAATCCCCTGCTCCTGTCTCCTCTCTATTCACATAGGTACCACCTTTGTTTAGGCCCTCATCACACCTTGCCTGGACTATTTCAACGACCTCCTAATTGTTCTCCCTGGCTCAAGTTCCTTTCCTCTCGGATTCATCTTCCACACAGCTGCCAAAGTGATTTTTATGGTGTAGCTAAGTGCCAGAGTGAAAGGAGTGCTGTGTTCAAATCCTATCTTGGTCAGAAATTAGCTGGGCAAGTCACTGAACCTCTCTGAGCTTCACTTTCCCCATCTATAAAATAATGATAATAATAGCACCTACCCAGAGGGTTTTTGTGAATATTAAACAAAAATAAACCATGTTAAATGTGTTGCAAATCTCAAATGGCTCAATAAATGTTGTTGTTACTATCACCACCACCACCACTGCTGCTACTGCTGTTTCTACCATGACGACGATGATGACTACTACTACTACTACTACTACTACTACTACTACTACTACTACTACTACTAGTACACTACTACTACTACTACTATTATTTCCTAAAGTCCATGTGACTTCCTTATTCAATAAATCACAGTGGTTCCCATAACATCTAGAATCAAATATTAATTCATTTTTATCTTTTTTTTCAATTTCTATTTTTGCTTAAGTTTTATATTTTACATAACCATTAGCATGGTAGTAGGTGCATGAACTTTATAAACTGGTAAATATCAATGTATTGGGGGAATATTAAAATATTTATTAATAGAGATACATGATCAAAAAGGCTTGGAGACCACTGGTTTAGAATATCTCTTCTGGCACCAATATCTAATAGAATAAGTTATTTTAGGGAAAGAAATGTCTCATGTTTTTTTTCCTTTCTACATCCAGCACAGTACCTGGCACGTCGCAGGACAGCTGTCACTTAACGTTGTTGAACTGAATCAAGCTTTTGACTTTGTACGCTATAAACACCAATGTAACGGTCAGTTATCTGGTTAGTTTATTTCATTCTCCCAGGGTCCCATACCTGAGGCTTGGAGCGGTATCAAAAATAGACCTCTGGCTAAGTCAGCTGTGCCTCAGAGGACAGGGCTTATATTCTGGCCTTTGTGTTAGTCCTGGGACTGAATGAGAAACGATGCCCTCAGCTGCTTATACCACCCCCTTCCTCTGAGGTCAGGCAAATATCTTTTCAATAACAAAACTATTGCTATGATGCTTAGTAATAGGGTATGACTTGTATATTAAGAGCCAGAAAGGATCTTAGAGATAACCTAGCCCAAACTCCTCATTTTTGCAAGTGAGAAAACTGAGCAAAGCTCTTTTACTGACCCCAAGCTTCCCATGAAAGTAAAGGCCCATCTTTTCACTACTAACATTTTATTACTCTTGCTAGATGGCAACTTGGAACTAAAACTGAGTGTCACACAGGAGGACAATGTAACAGTGTATGCAGCGTGTGAGCAGGCTGTAACACGTAACCAAGGAGGAGCTATGAAGAAGTAAAGGATATCATTAAGGAATTGTAGGACAGAACTAGGCTGGTCATGGAACAAGAGCAGGAATGACAGGTAGGCAGCCAGTTCAAGCCACTGTTATTCTTAAAATGAGGAGAAAAAGTTAGGAAGGTCTCCAACATGTTGGGTGTCACCTCTGTGGCAAACTATGGGCAAGGCACAGACGGGCACTGCACAGGATGGGAAGTAACAGACGGTTTGCTGGCTCTGCCACCAGATGGAACTTCCAAATGAATGAGACGATAGATACATTGGAGCATTTGAGAGAAAAACCTAGGCCCAATGAGGATAAATGACTTGACTAAAGTCATACAGTGGGGAATGATAAAACCAGGAACAAACAAAGGTTTTCCAACTCTAAATCCAGCAGATTCTTCCATTATAGTTCATAGACAGAAAGAAAAAAAGAAAGAAAAGTAGATAGGTAGCCAAGTGGCACAGTGTATACAGCACTGGGCGTGAAGTCAAGAAGACCTAAGTTTAAATCCAACCTCAGATACTTACTAGCTGTGTGACCCTGGGCAAGTCACTTAACCCTTTCCCCCCTCAGTTTTATCATCTGTAAAAATAAGAAGAAAATGTCAAACCCAGAAAACCCCAAATAGGGTCAGGAAGAATCAGACATGGCTAAAAACAACTCAAAAAAAAAAAAGATTGATAGGAAAGGAGACTGGAGATTTGGTGGGGTTAGTTTCCTATTTCTAGTAAAAGCAAATCATTCTCCTACTTACCCAGGCCTAAACCATTGGTGCTATCTTTAACTTTTATTTTTCCTTTGATGTCAACATATAATCAGCTGTCAAGTTTTACCGACTCGATGCTGACAATTTTTCTCATTTTTCATCTCCTAGTTCTCTAGTTCAAGTTTTCATTACCTTTCAACTATATTAGGCCCCTAATTTGTCTCACTACCTCTAAGATTTCCTTAGTCAACTCACCCTACAAAAGACTGCAGATTAATCTCCCTAAACTACAACTCTAATCATGTCACTCCTCTTCTAAAAATAAAGAAACCCCTCCATGTCTCCTCATTACTTACAAAATAAAGTCCAGAGCACTTAACTTAGCCTTTGAGATTTTCTATACTATGAAGCCAATCTTTTTCACCTTTATCCCACATGGCTACCCATTGCAAATTCTCACTTTAACCAAAGTGATTTATGCTCTGTGCTATTGTATGTCCTTGAATTCTGTCTACACTCTATGCCACCCGGCCCCCATCTCCTCTTATCGGAATATTATGTAGCCTTCCAGATCAAGCCTCATAGACCCTGCTAGGAAGACTTCCCTGATCTCTCTGTTACACACGCTTTCTTTCTACTCAAAACTCCTGTAATAATTTGTGTATCTTATGACAATTATCACATTCATTCCTTCTCATTTGTAAAATATGGATGATAATAATACCTGAATTATCTACCTTACTAATGTTTTTAAACCTTAAAGTTCTACATAAATATAAATGACAATAATTATTCATATGTATATCTGTGTGCATATATGCATAATCTATCTCTCTGTTAAGTTAGAAACTTCTTGAGGGGAAAAGACCATTTCTTATTCATCTTTGTATCTTTTACAATAAGTCTATTATAACTTGCGCTTTAAAAAATAAAACCAAAACAGAACCAGAAAAAAATTGTTGAATTAAATTGAACAGGAGAATGAAAGTGGTACCCATGGTGCAATAGTAGATGAAATATCCTGTTTTATTTGAATGAAAGACCATATAACTGGCAAATTATAGGCCAGTGAACTTGACTTTTTAGAAGTGTTATTAAAGAGATATTTAATGAATATCTAAGTGGGGGCAGGGGAATCAGTGATCACCAAGATCCATCATGGATTCATCCAAAATTGATCATGCTAGACCCACCTCATTTCCTTTTTTGACAGGGATAGATAATAGAGTGGTCTAAAAAGGGGATGTTATGGATATAATTTGCCTAGATTTTAGCAAAGAAATAAGATGGAAAAGATGTATATTTATAAAGATAGTATAGTGAGGTGGCTTTGGAAATTACTGAATAGTTACTACCCCAGCATTTGATGTTAACTTTGAAGGAGGTCTCTAATGGAGTGCCCCAAGGATCTGTTTTCGGCTCTTAATAGTTTCATTACTACCTTGGATAAAAACAAAGATGGCATGTGTATCAAATCTGCAGGCGACAGAAAGTTGGGAAGAATAGTTAAACACATCAAATGACACAGTCAAAATTAAAAAAATATCTCAGCAGGGTAGAACGCTAGGCTGAATTTAATAAGATAAAATGTACCAGGTAGAAATATAAAGCTTTAACCTGGGTTCAAATATTCAACTTTACAAGTATAGGATCACAAGATCATTACTGAGTCATAGAGCTGGAAGGGCCATTAATGGTCATCAAGCCCAATCCTCTCATTTAATAGATGAGGAAACTTGGTCCCAGAGAGGATAAGTGATTTACCCAGTTACATAAAGGTAGCAAATAACTGACCTGGGTTTGACTCCAATATGGAAAATCCATGGCTGTTATTAGTCTGTCTGAAGATATGGGACTTTAAATGGTCTACAAGCTTAATGTGAAGCCAATAGTGTGATAAGTCACAAAAGCAAATGAGATTTTGAACTTCCTTAAGGAAGGCTTGGGGGACTGGGGAGGTAATGGTACTCTTTTCTTGATTTCTGCCCCAGTCAGACCACATCGAAAGCACGATGTTCGGTTCTTAGGGTCACATTTCTGGAAGGATATCGATGAAAGTCAGTGTGGCATAATTGGTTAGAGAGCTGGCCTTGGAGATATGAAATCTTGGTTCCAAGTCTCATTTCTGACACATGTTGGCTGTGTGATCTTAGGCAATTAATATCTTGGTGTTCCAGACAACTCTCTAAGACCAAAATTTACAGGAAAGGAGCTAATCTTCATATATTATATTAATTACATTAATGAAGTCACAAGTCTAGTCCCTATCTGCTAATCTTAAGAGCAGCCAAAGGAAAGCAACCAAGATAGATGAAGAGCCTCAGGGATTATGCCATTTGAAGAACGGCAGAAGAAACAGAAGTTGTTTAGCCTGGAGAACAGTACACTTGAAGAAGACATAATAGCTACCTTTAAATATTTGAAGAATTGCCACACAAGGCAAGCTTTGGGAGCAATGCAGATGGTGCAGAGGCAAATTCAGATTTGCTATAAAGGAAAAACTTCCTAACAGGACTATCACCAAGTGGCATGTGATGCCTTGGAGAAAGGTAACTTCCTTTCACTATAAGTCTTAAAGTGAAGAATGGATGATCGCTCGTTGGGTGTGCTGTAAAGGGCATCCTTAGTCAACCACAAACTGTCTAAGGTCTGGGCAGGGTCCCTAGCAACTCTGAGATTCTGCTGGATCAGTTGTTACTTAACTTTCCACGAATCTCTGTCTTCTTTCCCCAATTAATAAATCTCTTGAGGAAGGAGAGAACTAGGTATCACACTTTTTTGGTATAGAATCCCCTGTCCATGTAGCACAGTACTATGCCTAAAGGCAGCAGTGAATAAACAGACTGAATTTGTTGAATAGTGGAGAGAAATACATAAACAGAGGAAGGACATGGCTTGAGCCATGATGTAACTGAAACTGTGAGACAACCGAATGCTTTGAAGCAGAGTTTTATGCAATTCAAGTAGAGGGAAGGTAGAATACATTATGCCCTATGCACTAACATATATCACTTTATGAGCTATTATTATATTATGTTACTTTGAAAATCTCAATCTCTTTGTATCTCATTTTACTTACTGATCAGACAAATCAGCCCACAAACTTCCAGACACACCAGGCCACTTAGAGCCTGGCCGCCACTTGGAAATAGAGGAAGCATTCCAAGAAGAACGATTTCAATTAATCAGCCAATGAATCAATAAACATTTATTGATCACCTAATATGTGCCAGGCACCGGGTTAGGCACTGGGAATACAAAAGGCAGCCCCTGCCTTAGAGGAGCTTACAATCGAATGGCAGAAACAACATACAAACAAATATATACAAAGCAAGCCATATACAGGACAAATAGGAAATAATTAACAGAAGGAAGGCACTGAAATTGAGGGGTTGAGGAAGGCTTCTGTAGAAGGCAGGATTTTAGTTGTTACTTAAAAGGAAGCCAGGGAGGTCAGTAGTCTGAGCAGAGGAGGGACAGCATTCTACGCATAGGAGATAGCCGGAGAAAACTTAATTCAATTCAACAAACATATATTAAGTGCTTAGGGTAAGGGCCTTTTCATACTTGAGGAATCAATATATTTGGACTTTCCAACAAAGACTCTGGATTTATAAGAAAGAAGTTTTTTTTTTTAATTCAATCAGAGGACTTACAAAATCTAGAACTCCAACTGAGCCTTAGAGAGGTATTGGGGTGTCATCTGCCAGGGTTCAGTTGGTTGGGGAGACTATTAGCACATCTATTAAATGAGTTCACCTATCTCTGTAAACAGCAGCTCATTTTTTAAGAGTCCTCTTTGCTTCCTGACAGTCAGGCTATAATGTACATAGGTTGAGAGGCAACATAGGATAATGGGTAGAATAGTTATTCTCAAACTCAGGAATACCTGGGTTCAAGTCTCACTATTTGAAGACACTGGGTACATAACCCTGAGCAGGTCTCAACCTCTCAGGGCTCTAAGCAACTATCTAAATTGTAGCCAACCTGTACTAATAGAAACTTCCTCACCAAGAACTTCCCTGTACTAATTATATCAAAGGTACAGTCCTGATCCCTATCTATGGGCATCGTTCTAAGTAATCAAGATTCAAAGACAAAAATAAAGACAGTGCCTTCCTTCAACGGATTCATCCTCTATTGGGAGAGATACAACATGAAATTGCAGGTGAAGCAACCATCATCCCTATCTGTGGAGCTGAAAAAAAGTATAAAAGCAAGCCTAAAACAATATCAGCCTTTACCTGAGGAATGCCAATATTTAACCAGATTGGTAAAAGAGAATTCTAGATTCCCAGTTACACTCTGTTGTCATTTATTTGAAAGGACAAAGTCAATGTTCTTTAGGCACCAGCTCTTTAGGTACCAAGTTGTATACTGTTCTTTGTCCCCCCCCCCCATTCAACTCAGTAGAGCTACAAACCCTCTCTTCAGCGTTCTCCACTCAAACAGGGGAGTTAGTGCAGCTGGATTGCTTCTGGGCTTCCAACAAGACTACTTCAAATGATATTATTTCTGTTTATGATGTGCATCACTAGCGGTGCTCATATTTGAGAGAATCAGCAAACAGAAATTTAAGTCTGTTCACCATAATCTAAAAAAATCCAGTGCTATCTTAGAAGGATGGGAGTAATGGTAGTAAGAAATTGGTCATATACCTAAGCAGGAGCACATCTCTAGCCCCTCTATTAATATGGCTTTTGAGTAACTAACTATAATCATAGGTAGCATTTATACAGCACTTTAAGGTTTGCAAAACTCTATGAATATTATCTCATTTTATCCTCACAACATCCCTGAAAAGGAGGCGCTTTATTATCAGTATTTTACAAATGAGGAAACTAAGGCAGACAGACAGAGATTAAATGGCTTGCCCAAGGTTACAGAGCTAGGAAGGCTGTATTTGAACTCAGCTCTTCCTGAATCCAGGATGAATTCAGTGTTCTATCCGTAGCAACACCAGCTACCTCCAATTCAAAGAACCATGCCAACACAACCTGGGTAAAAACTCTTTCATCTAAAAATTGATCAGTGTAATAAGAAAAGAAAATCTGAATCCAGGATATTTGATGTTAAATACACTTTGGCATGAAAACCACTGAAAGTATAAAAGAAATGCCCATAAGCTCTTTGAGAGAATTGATCTTTATTTTCCTTTTCAGAGAGGTCTGGCTATATTTGATATCAAAGAGGTCTCTCATTGAAAGAATAGACAGACAGGCAACCAGTGTTTATCTTCAAAGTAAGCTCCAAGATTTGGAGCTAAAATTGAAAATTCAAGAGTCAAATAGTTCAACCTTCTCATTTACCAGATTAGGAGACTGAGGCCCAGAAAGGTTAAGTGTCTTGTACAAGGTTGAATAGGTTGTAAAAAAGGAGAACTGGGATTCATATCCTTGTCATCTGACTGCAAATCCAGTATTCTTCCTCTCTTTTTGCCTCATATATAATTCCTTCATCTCTCTTTAGTTTTTATTACTTTGTCATTGAAATAACTACAATCCTTTGCTCCTCAATCCCTACCTCTTTGCTTCACTTTTATAATGTAAGCTGTACAAGCCACCCTGAGAAAGGATGAACATGACCTCAATTATATAGTTGTCGTTTTTCAGTCGTGTCTGACTTTTTGTGACTCCATTTGGGGTTTTCTTGGCGAAGATTCTGGAGTGGTTTGCCATGTCCTTCTCTAGCTCATTTTACAGATGAGGAAACTGAGACAAACAGGGTTGTGACTTGCTCAGGGTCACACAGCTAATAAGTATCTGAGGCCAGAATTGAACTCAGGAAGGTAAATCTTCCTGACTCCAGGCCTGGCACTCTATCCACTGTGTCACCTAGCTGCCCTAACTATATAGACATTAATAGAAAGCCTTCTCTGACTCTCAACCCACAATAATTGTGGGTGTTCTCTCCCTCCTCAATTTTTCTTGTACTATTCTCATTTGTATACATGTTGAATGGCCCCTATAGGTGAATAACTTCTTGTAGGCTAAGACTGTCCTTGTATCTTCAGTGTCTACATAATATCACACATAGCACATAGTAGGTGCTTTCTAAATGTTATATTGCATTCTATCTATTTTCACTTACTTGCCTAAATAGCATTAGACGTATTAAGCAGTAAAAGCAATCTGTTTGCAGAATTTGGCAACTTCAGACTTCAAAAGTGCTGTTTGATCATGCCTTTGTGAGCTAACCCTGATAGTCAGCTAAAGCTGTACTAATCAACAGAGCATAATCAAACAGTCTGTGTGCCCTTGCACATGCAATTTAATGTGTTTGTTTTCAAAGTTTTGGATGATCTCCCCTCAAAAGAAAACCACCGCTTCCTGTCCACTCTACCTCTCTGTTTTTCGTTACCAAGTAATAAATACTACAAGCAACTGATACAGGTACGTGGGTGTGGGGTGCTATACAGAAGACATAATGCCTACCCTCTGAGAGTAAACATTTTAGGCAGATAAGGTGTACAGATGCCCGTGAGGCTTTGACCTGTTGTTTGACTTAACAGAAGCACACAGTGAGCCATGAGAAATTGATATTGGATATAGTTATACTGAATATCTGGGCAGCATCCAGGAAAGGCCTAACCTTCTCCAATTATTGCACAATTATGTTAGGTTGTATTAATCAGTTTTGGAGGGGGGTAATTTTCATCCCTCTAAATCTTTTAAGACTTTCTCTAGACCCTTTGATACTGAAGTTTTTCCAAGTTAAAAAACTGCATAGTAGGTGCTCAGTGGCCCTTGGATGACTGTACTGTGATTCTTCCATCTGTAAAAGAGAGAAATAAGTATGCCCTTCTTTAATATACAGTAATATTGAGGAGAGCTATGTATTCATGCATGTAGAAGAGGCTTGGGTTCTAAGAAGGAAGGGTACCATATGAATTCAAGGTTTATTCACTGACCACCTTCCCTCCGCCCATCCTTCTACCTCTTAATATTACTTGTTATCTCTAAGACATACTATTAGATGAATAATAGAACACAATTTTGTTTAATAAACATGAAATAAAGAGAGGTGGTATTCAAAAGGAACTACAATAAGAAAATAGGTTGTTGTGACTGAAAATGTGGGAAAAATAGTAGGCTTACCTGTGATAAAGGCCCTCTTTTTAAGCACCTATGTGACTGGACAACTTTGTTATTTTAGGATAAAATAATCATTTGAGATTATTGGTTTGGTGAAAAGAGAGGTAAAGAGGAATTGGGCTCTGTGTTTTATTCCCTAAGACTTGACTGAGATCATTCAGTGGTCAGAGGGCTTGTATTCACTTCAGTATCCTGACACTCCTTGTTCACCTGAGCACCAACGGCAAGCAGAACCCTCAAGCCAAACTGAGCTCTCACTTAGATTCCTAGCAAGTAAAATCTGGCCCGGACAGCTCCTTTTTGCCCAATGAGCAGAGTGTATCAGAAGGGAATGACCTCTTTTTATCTAAGATAAATACATTTCTTATTAGTGCACAATAATGTTACATTGTATCATTCCAGATTGTTTCCTCATTCTCAGCCTCCTAAATTTTGTAAGACTTTCTGTAGACACTTTAATTATTGAAGTTTATCTAAATAAAAAATGCAATAAAAAATTTGTCAGACGACTGATTTTATGCAGCTATCAAAGCATAATGCTGAATACCTTGTAAGTGCTTATTAAAAAGTATTTAATGGATTTGAGCTGAAACTTTTCACCCCCATTTTTTTCAACAGGTAGGCAGTTTGTCTGAAGGCCTTCAGAACAAGTGCCCTCCTGGCTCTATCTACAGGACACCACATTTTTAGATGAAAAATGAAAAATTCAGCCAAAAATACATATATTTTCAAATCATCCAGATGGCTGATATTTTTACAGGTAAAAAACAAACGTCTTGATGCTTGACTAAATTTTTTAGTTTCCTTTGGCACATTTTGGTATTATGCACATAGCTTAAATGATGACTCACCAGCTTTCTACGCCCAAGACATTTCATGAAAAAATATGTTCTTTAATATTTTAAAAGTTTGAGAAGCTGTAATTTTGCTGGGTACTCCCTCCACTGACAGAGCTCATAACCACCATCAGTGTGCTGATGACTGACCTTTAAGAGCTGCAGTGACTGACTAATTTGCCACCAGTCTTGGGGATGGGATGGGTCTCTTACCTTAGGTAGCCTAGTTCTTAGATGACAGCCATATTATCACAAGGCATGTCTTGTTGAGTGGAAAACTGAAAGGTTGTTTGTTTTTTGTTTTTTGGTTTTTTTTTTGGTGAGGCAATTGGGGTTAAGTGACTTGCCCAGAGTCACACAGCTAGTGAGTATTATAGGTCTGAGTCCAGATTTGAACTCAGGTCCTCCTGACTCCAGTTCCGGTGGTCTATGCACTGCGCCACCTAGCTGCCCTATTTTTTTTAAATAAATAAACATTTTAATGTTTAATGTTAATGTTTAATAAACAAACATTTATTAAGCACTTACTATAGATCTGGCATTCTATCTCATAGTTTTTCTTGAAGAGATTCTTGGGTTAAACCTTTTCAGAGAAATATTATGGGACATACAAGCATAGATTTCTAGAGTTATTGATTTCTGTTCTACTACAGAAAAATTAACATATTATAGATAGCTCTCTATATAATGTACATATAAATCTATCTGAGGGTTAAGGGCTTGGGAAAAATAGAGGTAAAGAGGCATTGAATAATACATTTTATTCCTTAAGACTTGACTGGAAAAAAAAATAAGATTTGACTGAGATCATTCAGTGGCCAGAGGGCTTACATTCACTTCAGCATCCTGATACCCTTGATCACCTAAGCACCAAGGGCAAATAGAACCTTCAGCTCAGATATGGATATAGATATATCTAGATACAGATTTAGCTGTAGATCTATCTAAAATAAATGAATTTTTCCGTAGTAGGACAGATCTATATCTAGACCTATCTAAAGTAATGTGAAATTTTCAGTAGTAGGGCAAAAATAAATAACTACAGAGATCTTTAAATTTTAAAATTAATTTTAAACCACGTAAATTCTCCATTTAAATGCCCTAAAGCCTTCCTATCTATGTATCTATGTATGTATCTATCTATTGCTCTATTGCAATTAAATGGAGAATTTACATGGTTTAAATAAAAAGCAAAAAAACCCAAAAACCAAAAACAACCCAGTCAAATACCATCCGACAATGCATAAAAATAGGGACTAAAAAAAGCTGACTAATTTTCTCTGGAGTTAAAAAAAATTATGTGATTATCTGTATCTTGCTACAAATACCACTTCCTAACCCAGCTGTTATTTCACCTCAGAACTAAGTGGAAGAACATAGGCTCAAGTACCAGAATGATGCTCTTGACTTGTACAGCCCGGGAAATGGAACCCAGCAGTTTGTTAGTTTCTTATTTATAAACAGTGCTATCTTGAGAACTAAAAAGTATTGAATATAGCTTACATTAACTCAGTCTTATTACTCCGCTGTCTTATTCTGTTAGCACTGTTCTGTGCTTATTTAATACAAATGCTATGGGAAGTATGCTTATTTAAATGAGAAGCAAAAAGATAAAACACAACCTGGGCATGTGGTAAAACAATATAATGTATAAGCTCTTTAAAAATCATAATGGAAATAAAGAGGATTCTTATTTAATAGATATGCATTTAAAGAGGGCACAAGTACTCTGTGAAACCTGTGGTTCATGCAGTCAGTTCCTAGAAAATGGATTTAGTCATTAGGTGTGTTACTTGTAGGGTAGATTTCAGTGCTAAATTATTTTCTGACTCTAAACGAATTTTTTAAAAAATTTATTTATTCATTTATTTTTGGCTAGGCAATGAGGTTAAGTGACTTGCCCAGGGTCACACAGCTAGGAAGTGTTATGTGTCTGAGGCCGGAATTGAACTCAGGTCCTCCTGAATCCAGGGCCAGTGCTCTATCCATTGTGCCACCTAGCTGCCACCCTAAATGAATTTTTTAAAAAGACTTGATCGTCATTATAGATATATGCACATTTCATGCATGTAGATATATATTTACTATATATATGCATTTTAGAGAGACAGTGTGGTATAATGGATAGAGCTATGGACTTGGAACTTATGCTTAAGTTCCATCTCTGACACGTTCTAGCTGGGTGATGATGAGCAAAGTAACTCAACCTCTCTGAGACTCAGGCAACCAAACACCTCTCTATACAGAAGTATAGTGTTATCTGCTACTGGTGGAGGGAACTCCCTCCTAGAGGATATCACAGATCTTTAATGTATACAATTTAATTGCTTTTAATTCAATAGAACTTCTGTTGTGACATTATTTTGGCAAGCTGTAAGTAGGTAAGATATTTATAGTCGTTAATGGGTTTGTGTGGACATTTTGGCCAATGTTTTCACCTAATTTGTTATCTTTGGAATAAGCATGGAAGATCAAGGGCAGCTAGGTGGTACAGTGGATAGAGCGCTAACCCTGGAGTGAGGGGAACCCTTTGGCTCAACAGTAGCTCTGTGACCCTGGGCAAGTCACTTAACCCGGTTTGCCTTAGGTCCCCAGCTGTAAAATGAGCTGGAGAAAGAAATGGCAAACCACTCCAGTATCTTTGTCAAGAAAACCCCAAATGAGAGCATGAAGAGATGTACACAACTAACTGACAAAAAAATGACAACCATGAGGGGCAGCTAGGTAGCGCAGTGGATAGAGCGCTGTCCTTGAAGTCAGGAGGACCTGAGTTCAAATCTGACCTCAGACACATAACACTCACTAGCTGTGTGACCCTGGGCAAGTCACTTCACCCCATTGCCTAGCAAACAAACAAACAAACAAAGACAACAATAGAACTGACAGATCTTATTGGCAAAACAATAACCAAAGAAGATAAACACCTCTTTCTATTCCTTATTCCTCCACAGAAGACTTGAAATTTATGGGAAATTTCAAGTCCAAGTAGATTTCACCACAGAAAAATTGGGTGTAGAGTATAGAATGTTCTCTGGATAAAAGTAGACTCTTCAATCTACTCTACATCCGTCACCATAGGGTGGATGACCATAGTGATGACCATAGTTTTCCTTGAGGATTTTGTTACTAAGGACCATAGAAATGCTTATTGTATATGATATATCACCTCAAAAATTGCCACACTCTGACACTGATTTCCTTAAGCCTTTATTGTTATTAGTATGATTATTTCTGTGTTAATGAAATCTTTGGGGGTTGATTTGTAATGATGTGTTTGTCCCCTTTTTCTCCGCTCATGAAACCAGGACTTTGCTGCTGGCCTCTTTCACCTCATTCCTGGAATACTGCAAAAATTTGCTGGTTTGCCTCCCTGTTTCAAATTTCTCCTCATTTCAAACTATCCTCCAATCAGTTGACAAAGATGTCTGCCTAAAACAAAGGTCTGACCATATCACCACCCCTTTCCCATTTCAATAGACTCCAGTGACCAGTATCAAATAGAAAATCCTTTGGTTTTTTTTTAAGAGCTTTTCCACCTAGCTACCTCCTCCCTTTCCAGTCTGCTTACTTTTTACTTCCCTCCACTATTCTATGGCTCAGAAATACTAGCCTTTCCTCTTTTCCTTATATACAACACTCCATCTCCTGACTGTAACTTTTCACTGGATGACCACCACACCTGGAATACTCTCCCCTCCCACCTCTGTCTCCTGGTTTCCATGGCTTCCTTCAAGAGTAAATTCAAACCCCACTTTGTGCAGCAGGCCATCTTCAATTCACACCCCCAACCCCATTTCTTGCTATTCTTTTTGTCACCAGTGGCTAGCACGATGCCTAGAATACAGTAAGAACTTAATAAGTGTCCTATTAACTTGATGATATGCACTGTTCCTTAGCACCTAGAGTCTTGATAAAAGTCTACATAGCTCCTTTACTAATCACCAATGTATAAAGAAATTTTGATGTGAAATAAAGACTGAAATCCTAGAGCACGATGCTGATTTTCTGTCCAAATAGCATTACATAATGTTATAATGTGTTATCACCCTCATAACTTCATAGTACCTGAAAGGACCACAGCAGACAAACCTCTACGGTACCAATCTAAGAGCTTCCTTTGCAAAACTTTATAGCTTCATAGAAGATTCTTTCTGATATTCAAAGGAGTGATTTGGCATTGCTTGTAGAGAGGGCAGCATCTAATTTATGCATTTGGAGGCTGGCCAATGTAGCTTGGGAATATAGATACAGCAACTGCTATCAAGCTGACTGAACAAGCACAAACAAGGGGCCACTCTTGTTAGTAGCAACAGGTTGAGGAGGATCAAAAATATGGTATTGCCCATAGGAGCCTTCCCAGACTGCTCTTGGGGGCATTCTTTAAGGTTTTGTTACTTGTTCCCTTTCTCTGTCTGTCTGTCTGTCTGTCTGTCTGTCTCTTCCCTTTTTTCTTTCTCTTTCTTTGTTAATTCTTTCTTTTTTTTCTCTCCTCCCTTCCTTCCTTTCTTACTTGAAGGTTGAATGGTTAATGTGGATTAGAGATGGTGTTTGTTTTATTTACTCTACCATAGTCCCTCATGCAAAATAGATGCTTAATGAATGTTGATTGGTGTCTAACAAGGAGAGTACCAGAGCAAACTCTTGTGGCAGGAATAGAATACTGAGTAGCCAAATTTCCTTCTTTCTCTTTTATGTTCAATGTTGCCTTATAACATAGATATGGATGTTTCCAAACAAAATAAATGAGCTTTCAAGAAAATTCACAATTATCTGACCATCGGGAGTAAATAAGGTTGGAGACTTCACTTTGGAATTCCTACTTACATATTTTGGAGTAAGAAACAGTATGGTGAATCAGGCAGAAAGCTAGTCTTGAAGCAGGAAGACCTGGATTCTATTCTGGTCTGATACTAGCTAGACAGTTGTGGAAAGTTAGTTAACCTCTCTGCTTCTCAGTTTCCTTATCTGAAAATCAAGAGTTGGACCCAATGGCTTCTAAGGACCTTTTCCAGTTCTAAACTACGATCTTATGATCTTTAATCTGACAGTACTGGCTATGGGACATTGAGCAAGTTATTTAACTTTTTCGTGTCCTAGCCAACAGAATAGGTACAGATCTGCATCTTCATAAGGAATTCCTTATACTGATGAAGTCATAGGTGAGTGTATTATTATTTTTATTATTTAGTGTATTTTAGGGTTTTAGAGACACTGAATGAATACAGGGATGAGGGAGAGGGTACTCTTCAGCAAGTGACAATCAAAATGACCTAAATGAACATAACCAATTTGAATGATCAGAAATGTAATTGTGCCCCTTTATGCCTCCTGAGAAAGGGAATCAGAATCACATAACAGATCACTGAATTTGGGCCCTAATTCTATTCCAGTCAGCAGGGCAAGACTGGTAGCCTGGCCTACTCTGAATGGATTGAATGGAATTGAACATCAATGACTCTGAATGGGTAATATAATTATTACCTGACCTTCACAACCACAATATGCTGATGAAACAATTTTTGGAAATTCAAATTATTTTATAACATCTGTAAGGTGTTAATTTTTATTTGTCACATGTTAAAAAAGCTTTGCATTTATATACCATTTTATTTTTTTGATGGGGCTTTCACAAACACTTTTTCATTTGCTTCCCACAACAATTGTATGAGGTAAGCAGGAGAGGTATTATTTTCCCCTTTATATAGATGATAAAGTACCAGTTTCAGGAATAAATGACTATTAAGTAACAGAGTAAAGATGAGAACTGAAGTCTTTTGCTTTTCTACACCAACCAAGTAATTTTGATTCTGTGATAGTAAAACCAAAAAAGGTTAACATTTGAAGGGGCTTAGCACATTCTTGAAATGTTTATTGTTTGAAAAATAACTTGCTGTGTATCTATAACTAATAAAGTATTGTGATGTAGCTTTCATAACAATGAAAATTCAGGATATTTAGGCAGGAAGAATATATGGAGAACACATAGTTCAAATCACTCATTTTATAAAGAAACCAAATCCCAAAGAATGAAAAGTGGTTTGTCAAAAGTCACAATGAAAATTAGTGACAGATCCGGGACCAGAATCTAGGTCTCCTTACTTCTAAAACACAATCGTTCCCTCTACAGCACTGTCTGGCTGACTCTGGTCCATAGTCTTCACTTCCTTCTTCCTTGCAACCATGATGATAACTGTAGCATGCTGTCATTTTGGTCTACCATTCATGGGCACATATGTCAATATACTGGATAAATAATATTGCATTATTTTTAAGCAAATTAATTTAAGGGCCAAAAAAATTAATGAATCCCTTGTTTAAATGATGGGGTCTTACTAGTGTAAAACTACTAAAAAGTAATTAGATTAAATGGGAAAGCAGAAAAATGTATAGCTGCTAATTTCCTAGATAAGAGAAGGAAAGGAAGAAAATACTTTTACAAAAGGTCACAAGGAAATTGGAAAAAACAGACTTATAATGCATATTTTGCATGTGATGCCAGGACACTATCAGTGAAAGGTTTGGCTCAGCAATGACTGAAATGCTTCACGGACGATCATCAATTAGCAGTGTCCCCCCAGAGGCACAGAAATATTCATTTGCAGGACTGGGTATTAAAAACAGTACAATTATTTGTAGCTCAAAAATAATTTCTGTACGTGACTTTAAGGAAGAATCATTTGTTTGTATTAAAAAAAATTATGAGTCATTCTCAATAAGTTAGAGCTGAGAAACAGTTCAACTGATTTCCCTCTTGCACGTCTCATGCATCAGTGGACAAAGTCCCATTATCTTTGCTCTCTCTTTCTCTCTCTCTCTCTCTCTCTCTCTCTCTCTCTCTCTCTCTTCTCTTCTCTTCTCTTCTCTTCTCTTCTTTCTGTCTCTCTCTCTGTCTCTGTCTGTCTGTCTGTCTATCTCTCTCTCTCTATATATATACATGCATACATATACACACACATAGATAGATATAGATATAGATAGATAGATATGTGTCTGCGTGTGTGTATCCTCCATTCCATTCTAAAGAGAGAAAAGCTTTCACCATATGCCAGCTAAAGGGTTTGAAATACTTTGCCCTGACTCTAAACAAAAGTAATTAATACACAGTGATTAAGAGCTTCTGCATCAAATTATAAAACAGAATAACATGTTTAGTCCATGTGAGGCCTGGCCAAGAGGCCACAGGAAAGCGGCAGTATGATTCAAGGATGAGTTTCTTACTGATCAAGTAGAAACACTGAAGATGAATCACACTGCAGAGAATTTAGATAAACTCAGTGGGCCACCTCCAAGTCTTGTTCTGTCCAGACCAAAGCCTTTAACATTTCAAATAGTCTCGACCTGAATTAAAATCAAGGTCTTAAGAGGAACCAAAAATGTTAGTAATTGTGGTAGTATGTACATCTACCGGAGCCCTGGAACCATGATATTCTTATGTGGTTCCAGCTAGTTTTCCCTCCTCACATAGTCTAATAATAGTTAGAAGGTTTTATCAACTAGAGCTAATCTCTTCAGGATCAACCATCATAGTAGTAGTAAAATTGCAACTGTATAAAAGGTAACTTGGTATGGTGAAGAAAATGCTGGATCTGGAGCCAGGAATACTAGGGTTCAAATCCCTTCTCTGATACCAGATGTGTGACCCTGGGTAAAAGTCACATGACTCCTCTGGGTTTCATTTTCCTCATTTGTAAAATGATAGAGCTGAACTAAGAGGCACGAGATGCCCTCCAGCCCTCCATCTATGATCCATGCCCATTTCACATTTTTTAAAGTCTGTTTTCTCATTTTAAAAAACTGGGAATAATAATATCTAAAGTATTTATCTCAGGGTTATTGTGGTATTCATATATGCCAATGTATGTAAAGCAATATATAAATGTACAAAATTATTATTTACGTTTAATTTCAAGCACTTTTGTTATGACAAAAAATTTTATACAAAAATTGGAAATTAAACTCTTGGTATAATACATATATGGCCACTAATATAGGGACTGCTGAGTTTTTACACATTCTTTACCATTCATTTAATGACACTAAAACATTTACTCTATTTAATTACCTACTTGAGATATCTTTTTTCTTAATGAAGAACCATTCATCATACATGTAGTGTTTTATTTCTTAGAGTGTATTACTTTATGAAAGCTATTATAATATGAAAACAGAATATTTGCTAGATAAAATATCAAAATAGTTTATGTTTTAAATGTCTTCCTAGGTATTTTAAGGCACTAGTTGATTAAATATCTAGTACCATTAAATCTAATTTTAACTTCAATTAAATGTTTAGGCTCCATTTCATATTTAATCGCTGAATAAGGAATCAAAGTTCTAATTCCCAACATTTTATAATATCATTCTTCAGTTTCAGAATGCCTTTTATGTTGTTTTATACATTTCAAGGTACTAATTGGCCACATTTTAAACTATTCATCTTGTAACTATTTCATTAAAATAATACTCACATTTTTCACAGTTTCAGTATAAATCCCAACTAATTTTTTAAACAATAAACTAGAAATCATGAAATATAGGGGGAAAACATCATTTTTGAGTATTAATGAGTTTAAACAACTCATTATTAACTTAAACAACTAGTAGGACTGATTACACATTGGCAAAATCCCCATGGCTTTCTGCAAGTGACCTATACTTCTCCACTAAACTCATTGCTTATGGGATGAAAAAAGTGGCCAAGAGCTTCAGACACTCTAGTCTTTTCTCCCTTTACATCAACAAACTCCACTCACCTCCCCCATTACTGTTTTACAGAGTAGTCTGACTGCTAGCTCAAAGAGCTTGGCAAATGAGTTTTAATTTGGTGGGAAGAGCACAAGATTTGAAATCAGAGGACTTGATTTAGAGCCTTGTTTCTCTTACTACTTATGTGATTCTGCATAATTCATTTCTTTCTGGGTGCTCAGTTTCCTC